ACGATGAAAACGATCAGAACTGAGTGGGGATGATCCAGGATCAGAAACTACTGACCAGATATTAAGCAACAGGCAAACTGTAATGCAGGTTTAGATTATTATTAAGTAACTAATAATGATAGTTGGCAGTTACAGAGTACTAGCTTGATAAAGATCTTCACATAGATCAAGTTACTCAACACAGTGATATTATGATACAACTGCTATTATCATACCTATTTTTTAGTTGAGGAAACAGAGATTTAGAAAAATTAAGTAATTTGCACAAATCTGCAACCAGAAAATCAGAGAAATGAGATTGAATTTATCTTACCAGATAGTTTATCTTACCAGAGACTTCAGGATCTAAATAACCATGAAAAAAAAAAAATCAGTAGTGGAATCTAGGGTGAGGGAGATTCACCAAACAAGGTTTGAAGCTAAGAACAGATGTGAATGGAGTTCATCCAGTGTCCTGAAGGATTGTCAACTTTTCTCATCCAAGGCCAAGAATATAAAAGGTCGAATTCTAAACAAGGCCAGAGGTCCAGCTCACAGAATGGAGCAGGGAGACCACCATTAGCAACAACAACGTTCGCCACACAAAATTTTTGCCCACAGCAAAACAACTGCCAGGTCAAGCCTGGGGTCCTAATCACTCCTACCAAACCTGGAGGGATCAGGATCAATGCCCCGCCGCCACCCGGAGTCATTAAAAGGATCTGAAGTTTGGCAAGCTGGAAACACCTCTAGGAACAGGCGAGTGCCGAAGTCCGCTCTTACTGACAATGAATGATTCCCACCTGTGGTGTGTGCTGAGAGGTGGGGAGGGAAGGGAGAGATACCATATGGGGATTGTGGGTTTTCCTAAATTAGGGGCCCATTACTACTTTCAGGGTTTGAATTGCACAGAGTACAGCCTTTGCTTGGTCAGGAAGCTGGGATCGAAACACCGTTCAGAGTTCCTCCTTTGAGCCATCAAAACAAGATGATCTGCCACGCCAATGGATCCCTAGACACTTTATGGATAGTGCTCTCTCTTCAAATTTATATGTAGACTTTTCATGGCATTCAGAAGTCAAAACACCATAATCATTTGCAGTTCTGTATGAGTGTGATTCAAACAAGGAAGAGAATCAGATTTCCAGAGACATTTTGACACTAGATGAGGGTGGGGGTTCGTTGGGGGATGGAGGTGGAATGAGAATAAAAATGGCGATAGAAAACGTTGATAAAACAACTTCTGCCAACTGGAAGGTGGCGTACCTTGGGCAAAATAAGAAATATCCATCCAAGTACTACGCGTGACCTTGCCACATATTTCAAAACTGGTAATAATGTCCCTGTGTTTCAGTCCCCAGGAAGTAATGACTGACATCATCACCTCCTGTTAATAACAATTCACGGTTTATTTTTTAGCCAACGAACAGTTTTTGCTCCATTTTTGAGCCAGAAGCTTGCTTAAAATTCACACACATGCACACATGCAGAGTGTCTATGGATTTTAAGGATACCGATGCCATCGGCTTCCTTTCCATTTACAACTTAGAATCAAATAATGCACTTTAACAACAACACTGCGACCAACACCACAAGGAAAAGGGTGCTTGCCATTTGAAGGGAAACCGGAGCAAATCTGCAGCTAATGGGGCCATGCCGTAACTCCCCTGAGCTACACAAGAGCTGGGCATATCCCTGTGGACAGTAGCAATTACCTTCATTCTCCCTGATCTGAAGTAATCCTTGCTACATACGTCCCTCCTTGTGAGCGATGAGGCCCACTGTTTGCGGAGTCTAAGACCAAATGATCTTTCACAAGCAAAATTTAAACTTGAAATAGGATTCTCTGGCTCCTGATGCGGACTCTATTTTTCTCGTGTACTTTATACATTCCCAAATCAGGCTCAGGCCGGCTACAGATGGTGCTGGTGTGTAATGAGAAGGGCTCTGAAGCTGCTCAACTCCCAGGGGAAGATTCGGTAATGGAACTAACTATGTATTGTCCACCTTATATACTAGATTTGATTTTGGACTATTTGCCCAACTGTGTTTGTTTATTTCTCGGCACTGGAGGGCTTCCATTAGCTAAGGGCTGATTGAACATAGACTGTGTAGTAAGAAGGAACACAACATTTTTTCCCCCTGAATGCTGATGTAATCCCTTTTCTTTTACTGACAATTGAGTAATGTTTGCCATTGGAAACTGTGTTAGAAATGAGCTGATATTTGCAGTCATTAGTGAAAAAGAATTGTTTTGATCCCAGGGAACAAAGTGAGCATTATTTTTTTGGATGACAATGTTGCAGAAGTTTGTGCCTAAAACTTGGGTATTCAGGACCATGAAAGAGAAACTGCTAACATTTTAAAGCTGAAAATTACCTTGTTTCAGTAAATCGAAAGATTAATATTTAAGACCTCATAAATTTTGCTCACAGAGCATAGCCAAATATTATTATCATAACGAAAACAAAAACCTCAACTCAGCAAATTAGTCACCAAAGACCACATGTAAATTGACATTTTAGTTTCTTAACTAATGGAATCATTTGTCATTTTACTGAAGCAGTTCATTATAAAAATAAATTAAGAATAAGTAAATTGTAGTCATAGCAATCATGATGAAATTATTAGTAATTACATTTACCGGCATGAAAGTTTTCTGCCTGCTTCTCATCAGCAGATGTTATTCAAAATAACTTTGGAAATAAACACTGATGTTGTATCAAGGTTGAAGAACACATAGTGCAAGGAAGAAAGAAAGTTGCTAATTAACATTAGGAAAATATTGTCTTTCCCTTTCAAATATACACAAGTTCAAGTCTCCAATTCGAATATCAAAATGAAGAAAATGAGAAAACTCTCTACTACCCTAACTAGCAGAAAGAAAATTAGAAAGCAGAGACCAGCTCATGCAATTTCTAAATAAATGAAAAGGAAATTACATTTCTCTGGGTAAATATTTACTTCCTAAAGCGTGCCAACAAAAGCTACGTTAGAAATGGGACACGGTAGTAACTAACTAACTTGCACTTAGTTGATTTAATTGGAAATGTGCTGTTTTTCCTTTTAAGCCTTTGCGTTAATTGTAGAATAAAGAATTTCCAATCTGATGTTCTAATTGCGCCTGGGATCTCGTATCCTGTTTACATATATATTGATCTGTCAGATGACCTCATATGTATCCAGGTAGGCCATATTAGAAAGAACATTTAACCCATTTTTACCATGATACTCAATAACAGAACGTTTCTATTTCTACCTTTTTAAAAATAATTGTTATGCCTAACATTCAATGTATGCAGAGAAGCATCATGCTTCAGATTTGCAATTTCAACTGGTAAAATTTCAGGTACAAAAATATAAAATATAATAATTTTTAAAATTTCATAAAATGTCATTTAAATCTTGACATGCAGAAAAAAATGTTACTGGCTAAAAATTACTTCTATTTCTATTCCATATAAGGCGTACACAGAAACTTTTCCTCGAATGGCTGTTGTTATTTCTAGTTAATGTTGATGTTAGTAAATTGATATAGCAAGATGACTTTTTTGGTCACATTTGCTTGTCTACCTTACAAACATATGAAGTAACAAAAAAGGCAACTCTTCTTAATTCTCTTTACAAAAATGAAACATTTGTGATGCTTTTAAACTAGATTCAATACGAAAATTTTAAAAAGGAAAATAGATTCAATAATTATAACTAATGTGTATCTTGTTATGACTTCTTTTTAAAAAGGAATAATGTTGGACCTCTCAGACCAAACATCTGGGATAATATTTGGAATTAGAATGATCTGGTCTGGGAGTTTTATTTAAGTGAATTTAGGAAGACAGTGTTGTGACCAGGTAGTGGAAATTGCCCATTCAGGTCGAATGGATTAGGCACCTACAATGAAGCCAGAGAATGGAGACTTGGCTGGAGAAGGGACCAGAGAGCAGAGGAGGAGGGGACGGGGAAGGAGGGGGGATGGGGGATGGGAGAAGGGGCAGAGGACGGGGACTTCAAATCCCATAATGGGTTTGGGACAAGCTGCCTAAGAGCAAACATACTTCTTGAGTTTTCCTTTCACTTAGAAACAGTTACAGCTGCTTCTTCATTTATGCTTTTAAGACTACCAGAAAAACGGCAGCATTCCTAAGGAATTTTAATCCCTTCTTAAAGTTTGAAGGGTTGGCTAATAGCTCTGGGGTAATGCTCAGCTGCTTGAAATTCATATAATTTTCTTATTAGTTGGAAGGAAAATCCCATTCCCTCTCTTCCCCCGCCCCCCCCCTCTCATACATATATTCCTATATAGGAACAGGGAAGTAGATGGTAAGGGAGTAATTTATTTAATATATTTAGCTTGTGAATAACAATATATTCTGAAGTTTTCTTTTTTAAATCAGGCATCTAAGATGAAACAATTTCAAGAAACACAAACATCATACAGTACTTATTTTTAAATAAACCCTAATATTTAAAAATTGAAGAGAACACTGAAATGTAAACTGATATTTTGCCTTAATAGTATCACTCGCCTGCGAGCACACATGCACACACACACACACACACACACACACACACACACAGGGCTTGGATACTTTGTGACTTTATTTCTTTCTAGCAAACATTCTACAAGAGATGGATTTTAGTACATTTTGAATGTAATATTTTAGAACTCAGCCCTTGAACAAGCCGATTTACTTTTTTCTGAGTTGGACAAAGAAATTGTATTGAAAAGCATTCTCCATTACCTCTTGATTCTTCCAGAGAGTTGTGTGTGTGCACGGTCGTGCGCGTTCATGTGCGTGCATGTGCACGTGTGCTCACGAGACCACTTTGGGGACCTCATGCAGTAAGTTACAATGATGGAGCATGACAGTCAGAATAGCACACACTATTAGCTGGACCTCAACTCTATTACAGTGCTATGTTTGGTGACATAGAATCAAGAGACTCAAGGATACAAGGTCAAAGGTAGCAAAACATTACATTAATCTGTTCTCTTCACAAGATACCAGTATATCTCCATG